AGGAGTGCTAGAATCCAGAGGCCCCCCCCCCCCCGCCTCACTGCTCTAACCACTAGATGTGGGGCTTGCATGGGGCACTGGATGAATGTCTCAGTGCAAGTAGCAAGGCCACACTGATCAGACTTTGAGATGCTGAGGACAGTCAAGGAGGCCTTTAGCTCCTCCAGCGAGCGATTCCCGGCCCCAGGGCCAGGCAATCAGACACTGCAGGGTTCGTCTCTACACTGCAAAGACATTCCCGCAGTGCCGGGTCTCAGAGCCTGAGCCAGTGGACTGGGGCTTGCAGGACGAAACCCAGCAGTGACGAGTGAGGAAGGTCTGGGAGCTTCCAGCCCCAGTGGGAATGTCCCCGCTGCTCTTTTCTGCCCCACAGCCCGAGCCCAATGAGCCTGTCAGCTGACCCTGGCTTGAAAGGCAGCACCAGGAGGTTTCTAGGCAGCGTAGACGTACCCTGTGGTGCTTTTATTTGTGGACTTTATCTGGCCTTCCATGATGGAAACGTCTGTGCACTATGCCCTCTGCAGTGGTTTATTTTCCCACATGCTGGTGAGGCAGGGCATGAACCCCGTTGCACAGAAGGGCAACTGAGGCACAAGGAGTCCATGGGCAGAAAAGGCACAATTACCCAGGTCTCCCAACCTCTAGCCAGTGCCCTAACTGCCACTTCCCATAAGTGATTAAGTGGGAAACTGAGGCACAGGGAGATTATGTGAATTGCTATGGTCACACAAGGGGAGTAAGAAAGACCTGGGAATACAACTCTCCATGCAGTTTGGGGCTGAGTATGCCTTCCATCTGGTCGCAGGTTACCCCCCCTTGGCACTGCCATCCATGATGCCACTGCGTGTCAAGCAGTAGCCCCCACCCCAGAAATCGCAACTCTTTGCCCCTCCCAGCCCACCAGCCCACCAGCCACACCTTTGCTGGCGGAAGCATCAACCCAGACCTCCCCTCCCCCAGACCTCCCCTCCGCTATAGTTTGCTGTGTCACCAGGGGCCAAGGGGAGATTCAGAAATGCAGGGATCCCTGACCCAGGGGCACAGGAGGGGGCGTGTGAGAAAGATCCAGGGTGGTACCTTGCACGAGGACTTCCATTCCATCTCTTCCCAGTACCCAGCATGCAAACCCCCCTCCCCTCCCATTCCTCTACCTCTTCTGCACAGCCCTGCACTGCCCGGCCTCCATCTCTCCCACCTGATCCCCACCCGCAGGGCCCTTCACCTGCATTGGAGTTGGGCCCAGATGGGACTAGAGTGAATGCCTGGGAGTCAGCATCCCGGTCTCCCTTGTCCCACCTGGCTCCCCTTTGCTGGGCTCTCTCCTTCCTCTCTGGGTGACTCCCCTTGTACCCCCAGGCCTGCCCCCCCCCCAGGGTACCTGACAGGGAGCAGGGCAGCGGGGGAGTCTCCCCCTCTCCCTGGGGGCCATGGCTGCGGCACTTAGCTCAGCGAGTCCATCCCATGCTGCGCTCTGCGCTCGGCTCCAGCACAGCTCCCCCGGCTGCCTCTCTCTCCCTTCCCTTCTGAACTCGCCTTTTGTCCCCTCCCTCTCCCAAGTGCAGGGCAGGCCTCAATGGTACAAGCACAGATGACAGTGCCCCCCTTTCTCCTTCCCCGTGCAAGCTGCCAGCCACCACCACCCTTGTTTAAATGGGGGGGAGGGGCAGTTATTGGCAGAGTGGAGCACAGCAGGGGCCAGGGTCTTGCTTCCAGGCTAGTGCTAGTAGGGAAGAGAGCCCCCGCAGTAACCTGCTGCCAGGGAAGTTTCCTCCTGACTCTCCCCACTTACCAGCCATCTCAATGGGACCCAGGGCCCTGCCAATGTGGATTTAAGGTGCCAGTGTAACTGCCACCAGGTGGATTAGAACCTGGCCTTGCCAGAGCTTAGTATAGGAGCCGCTGTGCTTTGAGCTAAAAGCCAGCTGGCTCTTAGCCTCTCCTGTAAAGGTCTCTTGTCCTTAGCGGTTGCTGTGGTCTAAGTACCAATGCATGGGACAGCGAACCACTCTAGGGCTATGTCTACACAGCTTCCCTCTTCCTCAAAAGCCCATGCAAATGAAGTGCAGATTAGCATATTGCCACGCTTCATTTGCATAATTAATTAGGGGCTGTTTTTGCGCAAAAACCCCCTCTTGCACAAGAGCCGTTCTTCCTCATTTTTTCAGGAAGAACGGCTCTTGCCCAAGAGGGTGGTTTTGCACAAAAAGGAGTCATCTACACGGATCCTTTATGGTGCCTTTTTGAGCAGAAACCTCTTGCATAAAAAGGGCACCTAATTAATTATGCAAATGAAGCACGGCAATATGCTAATCTGTGCTTCATTTGCATAGGCTTTTGCGGAAGAGGGAAGCTGTGTAGACGTAGCCTAGATGTGTGGGTTACACCAGCACCAGGGTTCCTCAGACCATCCCATGCCAATGACTTTCCCTAGCGCAGGCCGTTCCTGCCCTCTCCACCGGGGCTGACAACATGGGAAGCCCTGTGTGCCACGTGCATGGGTGGTTTTGAGCAGGGGTAGGCAGCCCAATTCTCCAGGCTGCACCCCTGGTATTGGAAAAGGTTCAGAAAAGGGCAACAAAAATGGTGAAGAGTTTGGAACAGGTCCCATTTGAAGAGGGATTAAAAAGACTGGGACTTTTCATCTTAGAAAAGAGGAGACTGGGGAGGGATATGACAGAGGTCTATAAAATCATGACTGGTATGGAGACAGTGAATAAGGAAAAGTTATTTCCCTGTTCCCATAACACAAGAACTAGGGGTCACCAAATAAAATTCATAGGCAGCAGGTTTAAAACAAACAAAAGGAAGTATTTCTTCACACAGAGCACAGTCAACTTGTGGAACTCCTTGCCAGAAGATGTTTTGAAGATCCGGGCTTTAACAGGATACAAAAAAGACCTAGATAAATTCATGGATGATAGCTCTGTCAATACTTATTAATCTGGATGGGCAGGGATCGTGTCCCTAGTCTCTGTTTATCAGAGGCTGGGAATGGAGACGGATCAGTTGGTGAATCTATTCACTCCTTCTGGGGCATTTGGCATAGGCCACTGTCAGAAGACAGGATACTGGGCTAGATGGATCTTTGGTCTGACCCAGTATGGCCGTTCTTATGTTTACCTTACACCAGTTTGGTTTATGTCTCTTCCCAATGGGTCACCCATTCTGTCCTGAGCACTGTTCTATTTATAACGAGTCTAAAAGAAGGGTCTTTGTACCACTTTAACTGACATGCTACAAGTAAAGCAGCACAATGTCTGGGTATGGACCAAGGTAGATAGAAATCAAAGTTTTTATTTAAAAAAATTAAAAAGTGGATTTTGTTACTTAAATTGGATTTTTTATTTAAATCAGATATTTTTTATAAAATAATTTTTGAAGAAAAAAACCTGTGTAAAGATAGTTTTAATTAAGATACATTATAGCTCAAAGATATCTCATCATGGAATAGGGCTTATAAATTCTAATTCTTGTAATGTTTAAGAAAAGTTTTGTAAAGGCATTCCACATAGTTCATGGATTAGGGACCCAATTTTATGGGATTCCAGAAGCTTCTGTATAGACTATTTAGATTAATCTTTCTATCTACCCAGTGAGACTCAGTGCTCAGTCTAGAAGATACCATCAGAGGTGCTTAGTTTTGCTGTTCTCAAACTGTGGATTTGTGTCTACAAAGCTAACATGCTTGTTAACTACAAAAAATAGTTATAAATAAATAAATAACCTCTCTCTATCCTATTGTTACTCTGCAAATTTGTGTACAATCAGTCTCTTACCTCTCTCTAAAATTGCAAAGTTTCAAAAAGTGCAGTGAATGGAAACCAATATTTTAAGTTTCTCATGTTGTGCAGTGAATGGAAGCCAATATTTTAAATTTCTCATGTTGACTTGGATGGCATGGTCAATTTAATTTTTGTTTTAAAAAAATACCTCATTTAGCTATTTTAGTTAAAAACAATTTTATCAAAAACACACTTGATTTTAAAATCTTGAATGTTGAACTAAATTAAAAACTTCATATGCCTGTTTTGTTAAAATATTATATGTTTGCTGTTGAAAGAAAAAAATCCAAAATACATAATATTGTTGCTTTACTTAAATAAAACAATGTAAATGTCTGTCTTGTGATGTTCTCCTAATACATCATGGCAAGAAAATATTAATGATTAACCTGTTGAATTCGAGCTAGTTCACCTCCCAATGACTTCATAAATAACTGCTTCAGCTACCTTGGAGGTAAATGAAATAACCAAACAATTATTCGTTTTCTAATATAGCCGTAAAACTCATCTGAAAATTTTTCAAAATAAACCACTGCTGAAAAATGTATAGCATGGAACTTCTAAAAATGAAGCCTACATCTATCTCTGAGTTGTGAAGAATATGTATTATGGTTATGACCAGGGCTCGACAAATCCACTTATCTACTCGCCCGTGGCGAGTAGATTTCAGCTAGTCACCCCATTCACCAGCAGCGTGCACATGCACAGTGCAGGTCTGGTGCATGCGAGGTGTGGGGCTGGCGAGTGGGTTTTCACTGTGGTCATCGAGCCCTGGTTATGACAACTAACAAACATGCACTTTTATGTAGAAAACCATGCTTAAATCAAGTCTTCCTGACTAGTGATCAGATTCACCCTAGCATGGACAAGGCCTAATTGTGCCTTGGCCCAAACATTGATGGAATTTCTGGATCAGCACTTAGCTAAAATGGGAATAAAAATTCTAGTGTGTACCAAACTTCAGATCTTGAGTCTCATTTGCACTGTTTTGCTGTACATGGTAATCACACAGTGATCGCAATGAAAAAATGGTTAGAAATGCAGCCCTTATGAATGCTTTATGTAGGTAGGTAGATTAGATTGATTGATAGGTAAAGAGTGTGGGGAGGACGGATAGACATATCAATAGCGTGTATGGGGATGGACAGAAAGACAAATATATAGAACCCATTAAATGTCCAATCCTCTACCACTTGTCAGCCTTGTTGTCTATTTAAAGAGCCAGCCCTTCTCTAACACACAATGTCTGATGCTATGACTGACATGTTCGTTTTTTAAAGGCACCGGGTTTCTATGAAGGAGGTTAGGACCCAGCTGGGGATTTCAGGAGCTGAGCCCAAGGAATCAGAATGCCTGGGGCTCGGGTGACTGTCAGCAAGTTGCAACTCCATGCCTCAGTTTCCCCATCTGTGAAATAGAGATATTCACTGTCCTTGGAAAGCACTTTGGGTGTGTCTATACTGCAGGGCTTAACTCAAAATAAGCTATGCAAATTGAACTACTTCAATTGCGTATCTTATTTCAAAATAGGGAACATCTACACAGAACTTATTTCAAAATAGAGCACTCTTCCTTCATGTGATGGACCAGGTTGGGTCTGGGCACTGCTGAGGGCATCCGCTCAGGGTGAATTGCTCAAAATCAGGGCTCCTTACAGCCCCTGACTGGTGACCTTTCCCAAATAGGCCACAAACCAGTCACACCGAGCGCTTCAGCTGCCAATCCAGCCAGCAGGAAGCCCCATGAGCAACAGCCAGCAGGAAGCCTCATGAGCAAAACCCTCAGACACCCCAGCTCTCCCTATGCCGCAATCAGCCTCGGACCTTACACACAGGTGAGGGGTTATAAAACCCAATCTCACCTACCCCGAATGGGTTCTCCCAGTCCCAAAGGACCAGCTACAGTTCCCAGTCCATTTACACTTTGGATCTTACCCACAAGATCACGCTGGGCCAATCCTTTAAAATCTAAAATCTAACAGGTTTATTTAAAAAAGAAAGAAGAGGTGGAGAGTAAGGTTGTTAAAGAAAATACGTTACATGCCCCAATCCCCAAGTTCTTGATGCAGGCTTTCAGCAGAGATGTTACAAACTGCTATCTTAAAAGTCTGTGGTGTACATCCTATGTCAGGATGAGTCGACAATCCTTCCCAGCTCGCTGTCCCTCCCAAGGCTGCTTCTGGGATCAGTGGCAGAATTGAAGATCAGATGGAGTTTGCCTCATGGCACTTTATATCCATCCCTGGTACCTTCCAAGCTGGAGCGGGTCACATGGCCAAGTGACCTATCCCTGTGTCCCATGTGATACTGACTGGTTTGCAGGTTCCAGACACATTCCTCAGATGTATATTGGGCACCTGGAGAGCCATTGTCCCTGGAACTGTGCTAATTAGCATAGTGATAGAAATGTAGCCGTGTTAATCTGGGGTAGTTGAAGCAAAATGCAGGACAATGTAGCACTTTAAAGACTAACAAGATGGTTTATTAGATGATGAGCTTTCGTGGACACTGGCCATTCCTGGCCCATTGCTCAGAGAACCTTCCAGCATAAGCACAGAGTACATATTTATAACTCCACATACAGATATCACACAAGTACATGAATAGCATACATAGAATCAGTAGAAGATAAGCTTTCATTTGACGCCTTGCATGGCCCCTTTGGTATAGGCTTTGGGGCAAACACCTCCCCATAGGTGCAGCAGTGATCTGGCTGCTCCCCTTAAAATCCAGTAACGTGACACTCCCACTTCCCTTATTCTTCTTACTATGGAGGGTTACAGGAGTTGGAGTAAGAAGTCCTCCAGCTTGACAGTATTTTGATACTATTTTGAAATAACTGCCTGCTGTGTAGATGCGGACTAAGTGATTCTGGGATAGAGCTAGTGAGTTTGAAACAGTGTTGCTGTGTAGCCCTACATTGTGCCAGGGGTGATCATTCCGACAACAGGAGCATTTCTGGGCTCCAGCTGAGAAGGGGATGGTGCCCTGCTACCCGGGGCTGCAAAAACACCGCGTCTGCCCCCAAAGAACTCAGACTACATAGATGCAGGATGAGATGGTAAACTGAGGCACACAGAGGGGACGGGTCACAGGGCAGAACTGGGACCAGAACCCAGAGGCCCTGAGGCTCGCACGCTCCCTCTCCAGCTGTTGCTGGCAGCAGCGAGTAAAGGCGATGCAGGAAGCGGCAGCAGAAGCTGGCTCGTATCCCGGGACAAGCTCGGGACAAGCTCTATGGGCAACCCCCCCGCCCCCAGCCCGGGCAGCCCCCCGAGTAATACCAGGGATCCCCGCTGCTTTCGACTGGGAAAAAGCAGCCAGGGGGCAAGGCCTGGCCGGCCCGATTCCCCAGCTGCCCCAGCTCTGCACGGGCGGAACCGGCTCCACCACTGCGTCCCGCCCCGCGTAGGCTGGGCCCCCAGGGCGCCATCCCTCAGGGACCGGGGTAAAATTCCAACCCTCTGCTGCAAGCGTAGACGGAGAAGGAGACGCTGGATGATCCAGCCATGGGGGTGGAGGTTGATTGACACGGCTTCCCCCCTCCCCTCCAGGGCTAGGGGCGGGGCTGGTGGTTCTGAACGCTCACGCAGCCCCTTCCCCTCGAGATCTGCCCCCCCCCCAACCACCCTAGGACCAGAGGGCTGCAGACAGTCCCTGCCCCGAAGAGCTCACAATCGAAACTCCTGATTTATAGGGGTTCCGGGGTCGAGCTCCCATCGGCTCTGCTGAAACTCCCAGTCGGGGTTGCACCTGGGCTCTGGGCCAGGGCCAGGGCCCCCGTCCTTTGGCTCAGCGCCCCGCGCAGCAGCAGGGCTGCAACAGGTGTCAGGGGCCTTGTGCTGGTGAAAATGATGGTGCAAGAGGTCAGGGCGGTGGTGCCCTGCAGGGTAAAGTCAAAGCGGGCGTCAAGTAGCCCAGCCTGGCGCACCGCTGCAGCCTGGGAAAACTGAAGAGTTTTGCACCGTTTGCACGGAGAACCCGGGAGATTGGGGGGGGGGTCAGTGTATGGGGGGGCAGCCCCCCTTGTCTCATTATTAGCCCCAGCCAGGCTCTCTGTTCCTTTTCTAGACCACTCAGAGCCTCCCAGAGGGGCCCAGCCCGGCTGCCAGCCAAGCCAAATGACCTCTGCCTCCCATCCCGTGGGGGGCAGGATCGGGCCCCCCTCCGTGGGGCTCTGAGTCGAGGTTTGTGCCTGGCGCGGCATCCACCCTAGCCCGGCACTAACGCTGCCGGGTGGCAGAGGAGTTTGCGGACGGTGCCTGGCGGCTGCCCCGCCTACCGGGGCTGGGTGAATGGAGCCATGTCGCTGGGCTGGCCCACGCGCTACCTGCATAAGCTCCTGGCGCGGGCGAGCAGCACCCAGGCACCGGGCATCATGGACCGAGGTAACTGAACGGGGCAGACCAGAGGGACCTGGGGGGTGGCTGCAGCAGGGGCCGGGATGTGCATGTGCATGATGCTGGGGGGGGGCAAAGTCTGGATGCAGGGCTGGGACCCCAGTCCCGTTGGTTGCACCCCCCTGGCTGGGCTGGGCTGGGTGTAAAGACCTCGCAGGCTCCTACCAGCCGCTCACCCGGGGTCGGTTCTCTTACTTGCATGAGGCAGCCCAGCGCTTTGTGGTTTAGGGAAACAACGGCCGGGAGGGGAGTCTGTAAATTTCCATCCATTTCCTCACTCTGACCTCACTAGAATCCTCGAAGAACTTAGGCACTACACTGCCGCTGCAGGCGCCTAAATCCCAGAGTCAGGCCCCTCTGGGATCCCCCTGCCAAGTTGCCACTAAGGCTTGTAGGTGCCTGAGCTTACTGCAAAAGTGTCTGTGCTGAGTAAATGTTCCCGAAGTGGCTACATCGCCGCTTCTGAGCAAGCCCTCGGGATCTGAGTGCCTTGGTCCCAGAGTGATGCCCAAAAGTGGGTTCCTCTGCCTAACTCACCAGCAGGGCCCGCTTACAGGATCGGGCCCCTCTAGGGGAGCTCACCCAGGAGCGCTGGGGGATGGAGGACCACTTTAAACCTGGTTAAAAGTCTCAGAAAGGGGGAGGCCTGTGAAACTGTAACTGAAAAAACTTAAAACATCAAATAGTTCTGCAGCACTTTAGAGACTAACAAAACATGTAGCTGGTGGTATGAGCATTTGTGGGCACTACCCAATTCTTCAGATGAATGGAGTAAGGGCTATAAATAAATAGCAGAGAAAGAGAAGGAAAACAATAGGGAGAAAATATTGTCAATGAGAGCGTCCATGCTAAATGAAGCTAACAGTACCTGGTGCTTAGCTTTTTATGTATTAGAGTGTGGAATGTAGCTGCCCATCCAGGTTTAAACCTGGTTGTTCAGGTCCCCACCTGGGATATGGGAAACCTCCACTTCAAGAGGAAGAGGTTGGACATGGGTGACAGGAGAGGGATTATATGAAGATTCCCTGTTCTGTTCACTCCCCTTAGAAGGGCACCTGGCATTGGCCACTGTCGGTAGACAGGATACTGGGCTAGATGGACCAAATGAAATTAATAGGTAGCAAGTTTAAAACAAACAATAGGAAGTATTTCTTCACACAGTGCACAGTTAACCTGTGGAACTCCTTGCTAGAGGATGTTGGGAATACTAGGACTTTAGTTCTTTTTTGAACCTTGTTAGATACTTTCATAGAGGATAGGTCCAGCAATACTGATTAGCCAGGATGGGTAGGTATGGTGTCCCTAGCCTCTGTTTGTCAGGGGCTGGAAATGAGTGACAGAAGAGGGATCACTTAATGATTACCTGTTCTGTTCACGCCTTCTGGGGCATCTGGTATTGGCCAATATTGGAACACATGATGTTGGGATAGAATGGACCTTTGGTCTGACCCGGTCTGACAATTCTTATGTTTGCATGATATGACCTGAGCCCCAGAGGGTTGGGTCCAGTTGAAAGGCTCTGCTAGCAAATGTGCTTATGGCAGGCACTCCTGAAGGGGGCTCATTAACTTGGAAGCACTTAATTCATTGACTTCCAGCTGGGCGATCCACTGGATAAGCAATGATCCTGAAGACTCAGATGCACTGAGTGGCCACCCACATCGCCCAAGGCTAGGAATTGCTGTTTCCTGCTGTGACTAGTCATTGGCTCGTGGTTATTCAGTTTTCCCCCCAAACAATAACATTCTTTGGGGGCTTTCCAGGGATAAGGAGAAGCATGTTGCCAGGGGCATTGGGGGGCTTGAGTGTAGATGGTCACCTCTTCATCTAACCCTGTGCAAAGCCGCCTGGTTGTAACTACCTGTGTGGGCTACACCTAGCCTCAGCCCCAAGTAGGGGACAAGACTCTTTGTACAAATGGGGCTGGCTGCCTCGAGGTAACAAGCTCCATCAGAAATACCATCTAACACCAGTTCTGCCCCTAAAGTAGTTTCTATGGTCCTGGGGTGAAATCCAGGTTGTATCACCCCCTGCCCTGCAACACTGGGTTGCCTTTTACCGTTGTAGCTCCCAGCCCGGGCAGCTCCCAACTAGCCTCAAGGCACACCTTGCGTGTGTGTACAGTTGCAGCCCTCCCTGAGCTAGCAGCCTGCCAGCAACACACCCGTCTCGCTCTGGCTTCCACCAGCCTGGATTTAATACATCCAGCACCACCCTGAGCCTGAGTTCTCCCCAAAAGCCAGTCCTCTGCACTGTACTGCCCTCTCCTGGACAGGTCAGGTATTACTGCTGGGTCGTGTCTACAGACCGGACTCCGCAGTTTGCTACTCTCACTGGACTTGCCAAACGGTCTGTTTAAACGCGGGCCAGGGTTGGCTGAGAGGTTGGTTCACAAAGGGTCGTCAGTGAATGTAAGGCCGGGAGGTAAAGCTGGAGACGACTCCAAGCAAATAAGAGCGAAAATGCGCAGCCGAGTCTAAAACGAAATCTGCCGTTGGTGTTTGCAGTGGGGCTGTAGCTGTGTGGGTCCCAAGTAGGGGGGAGAGAGAAGGGGAGGAGGTGGCAGCAGTTAGTGGAGTAGCTTCTGCTGGTGAGAGACACGGTTCTGAGCTTATGCAGAGCTCTTCTTCAGGGCTTGTTGGTCCAGTACCTCGTCCGCCTTGTCTCTCCACAGCTGATTAGATTAAGTTTTGGTTCAAGGCATTCTCACCCTCTCCTCCAGCCTGCGGGTGACTTACCCTTTCCTTGGTCAGGAGTCCTCCCTGAAGCCCCAGGATGCTGGAGCCTTTGGCTTTGCCTCAGTTTCCCAGTTTAAAGCGCGGCTGCAGCACTGCAACCACATCAGGCGCTCCCAGCGCTCAGGGTAAACCACCTCCACCAGGGGAATCACTAACAGCGCTGGGAGTACGGTTCCCAGTGCTGTAGCCTGGTTCACACCAGTGCTTTACAGAGCGGTCACTTGCTGCACTCGGGCAGAGGTGGGGTGTGGTTTTTTTTTCACACCCCTGAGCCAGAGGGTTGCAGCGCAATGAAGTGCCAGTGTTGACTTAGCTTTCATATCAGTAGAAAGAGAGAGAACTTGGAATTCTCTGCACTTTTTTTTTTGTATAGTTCTCTCATACTTCTGGTGATTACTGTTTGAACAAACTTTGCTTGGAGGAATAAAGATGGGAACCTGGGGGTGAAGGAGGCTCTGTGCCCTTTTTACTCATTTTCGTTGGCTGAAATTTAAATTTGCTTTGTTTTTTGCCACTCCCTCCTCACCCAATTCAGGGATCTTGCTTATACGGAGGTTGAGATAAACACGTATTCCTCTGGGGAAAGATGTGTTGAAGGGCTGTTGCCTAAGCAGGTCTGGCTGGCTTTGAAGGAGTGCTAATATTCCCTGGAGGGCTTCCTGATTAATGTTACCACACAAGGGCGGCCCATCCATATAGGCGAACCAGGCGGTTGCCTAGGGCGCCAAGTTAAATGGGGCGCCAAATGGTGGCGCAATATCATTGAGGGGGTTGGAGATGGGGGCGCCGATTGCCTGGTTCGCCTAAGGCTCCAGTTGCTGGCAGCTAGTCTAGGGCCGCCCCAGTTGCCACATATATTTCGCCATTAAGTAGCACGTTATCAGTTTGCAAATGAGACCTCAGCTCGCACGGCATTTTGCACGCAGGTTATTACATCCCTGAGCCTCCTGTGGCCTGCCCAGATGAGGATTTACATGGGATGTTGGATCAAGTTACCTGGCTCTGGTAAATTAACTCTGTCAGGCCAAAGCAATTGACCTTTAGCCATGCTGAAAAGCTGGGTTATAACTAAGGCTATAGCTTGACTTATTCAAACTGAAGCTAGGTCTGTACTAGAGCCAGAAGGTCATCTTAAGGTACACAACTTCAGCGATGTAAATAACATAGCTGGAGTTGACATACTTTAGAACCATAGAGCTGGAAGAGACCTTAGGAGGTCATCAAGTCCAGCCCCCTATCCAAGGCAGGACCAATCCCAACTAAATTAACCCAGCTAGGGCTTTGTTAAGTTGAGACTTAAAAACCTCTAGGGCTGGAGACTCCACCACCTCCCTAGGTAACCCATTCCAGTGCTTCACCACTCTCCTAGTGAAATAGTTTTTCCTAATATCCAACCTAGATCTCCCCCACGGTAAGCCAAGCTTGGCGCTGTCTCCACAGTGGGAGGTCAACAGAAAAGTTTCCCTTACTCCTCTTGAATTAAGGAGTACTGGTGCATACAGGCGAGGAAGGGGGGGGAATGCCTTCAGCATTTGATTTAGCAGGTCCTTAGTAGACCTGCTAAATCAAGCGCCAGAAGATCGATCTTCGGCATGGCAAGCAGAGGCGTGGCCTGAGCTGAAGGCTTTAGATTGTGTCTACCTTGGTGCTAAGTATTGGGTTAAGCTCCATGAAAAAAACTGCTTCTTTCCGATCTGCGCCACATCTGGGCTGATTTAACCACTGGAGGGTGCAGGAAATTTTATTTTTAGAGGTAGCCACAGTGGCACAATTCCTGTGGTAGATGCAGTTACGCTGGGGTGAAGGTGCCTTCTCCTGGGGTAACTTATTCCTTGGCCTGTACTGACAGTGAAATCGGCATCTCCCTTGAGAGTAGGCAAAGCCTTGTTGTTGTGGAGGTGGTAAGCTGCATCTACACTGGATACTAAGAGGGCTTTCAGATGGACTGAGTTACCACCATCCTTTTTTTTTTTTTTTTTTAAATTTAATCCTTTTCCCCTACTCTAGACACAATCACAGGTAGTGGAGCGATGGTGGGAGATCTCCCTGCAATAAACCTCCATGCTGGACAAGGCTGTGCCTATAGGGCCAGGGAAAATAGTGGGAAAAATTCACCTCCAGGTTTTGTACCCAGGCCTATCTCGTGCACCTTTCTCTCTCTCTCTCTCTCTCTCTCTGCCTTTCAGCCCAGTCTGCAGCAGTCAGAGGGGTTGATCCCAGCATTACGCTGTGTGAACAAGAGCAGAATTTGTCCCCAATGTCTTGCGTAGGCGGAACCCTCCAGCAGCATGTGGAGCGCTAACGAATCCTGTGTCCGGAAAGTCAGTGATTAAAGGAATAACCTGGCTCTGCTGTTGCCTGATTTTGCCGACGAGGAACTCCTACTAAAGACAAGGGGCCTGACTCTTGTCGCCGTTCAAGGCACTTGCGCCCTTACTTCCCCTCAAGGGCGCCCGCTCCGACTAACAGCACTCCTGGTTGTTGCCTCCCTTGGATGGAGACGTGGGTCTCTCTCCCTGCAGACTGAGGTCTCTCCAGGCTGCAGTAGCTCCCTGCTTTCCTGGGCCTGCTGGCTTTCTCCTCGGAGACTAACAACAGTGTAATTGTCACAATTATAAACTTCCACGTGGTTCTTCAGTGTTTAACTTGTAACAAAAGAGGTGCCAGATCTCAAGCCGTGCTTTTTACTTTCATAACCAAGGTAGCAAGCCCCGAGGTGCCAGGGCTCAGCCCGGGCACAAATTAATCCCTGCAGTTCTTCCTATGCAAACCTACTTACCTTTAAGGGAAAAGCGGAGGTAGTCAGAAGGCATCGGTGTGGTGTCCTGACAGATATCGTGCTCTGTCCAATGACGATAACCAGGGCATGACAAACGGCGGCGAAATCTACTCGCCAGCCCTGCACTGCGCATGCACAAGACACACATTGCGCATGTGCGCGCTGCCGGTGAACGGGGCGACCAGCTGAAATCTACTTGCCACAGGCGAGTAGAAAGAGCGATTGGTCGAGCCCTGACGATAACCATTCACCTACATGTGTGTTTGTGTGCTCCCTCACTGGCTTTGAGCAAATAGCCAGCCCAGCAGACTCCCAAGAGAGCCCCCAAGGACCACAGAATCAGACAAGATACAAAGCCCTGAGTCAGGTTTATTGTAAATGAAGCACAGTAATAGCTGGTAGGCTCTACGAGGATGCTAAGAATGTGTCCCTATAACCATGGACACGGCTCAGTCAGTAGCATGGGATGCGCTACTGCCCTCTAGGCCAGACCAAGAGTTAAGGAGGGATACCCCAACATTTAAAGATTGAGACAATCTGTGATGCACACCTTATGTAACATCTTATGAGTGTTAGCGACATATTGGTTACCTCCCCTTGTGCTTTCATGCTTGATGTTTCAGACAATATTTCTATTCAGCACTTTTGCCAAACTGTTTTATCACATGCGAGATGGGGGGTGTCCTTGTACTGTCCTGGGGGAATGTACTTACACGTTCCCTGTGTTTAACTTTAAACAGTGCTAGCAGAACCAATGCCAAGTTCGTGTCTCAGTCCCTGACTTACAGGCAGGGTTCTGCTTTGACAGGGTCTGCCCGTTACTCAATATAATTCTTGCTCACTTTGGTTCAGGCCTGAGGCCTGACACCAGGCCCGTGTTTCAGGCTCTCGCTTTCTCTGGCACAAGTGTTGTAGAGAAAATATGAAAAAACAAATAAAGAACTTGCCTCTAATAAGCTTCCCAGAGATCACCCTTCCAGTGTAGACTGGGGCAGGAGCAGCTCTTCCCAGACCTGCCCCCCCATTTCAAGTTCATTGTACTTTTTGAACAAGCCATGGCTCTGAGTCACTCCTTTATCTAGCTGGGTTCTTTGAAGGGACCTTGACCAGATAATTCGTCAATGGATCTCCGCTGAAAGTGCAGCTTCTAAAGCCGGGGTGGGGAACCTCAGCCCTGGGGGGCTGGATGTGGCCCTCAGCTTGCCTGGATCCAGCCCCTGAGGCCCCAGCATTTGGAAGCCTGCACTGGTGCTTCAGCTCCTCATTCCTCCATGGGGCTGGAGCACACAAACTCTACTAGCCTGGGCCCCCCACGGCTGTAGTGTACGAGGGAAATGTGGAGAATGTCTTTCTCCTACTCAGCCAGGGGCCACTTTTTTTGTGTTTGTTGCTTCTCACTTGTGTGCAGCCCCTGACCCCAAAAAAATTGCCCACCCCGTTCTAAAGGCAGGGGAGCTCGCAGCCTCGCCAGGCCCTTGGGCATAGTGTGTGGGAGGAGAGGAGAGCCTAATCTCTTGGGCAGATGGGGCTGGGGGCACCCTGTCCTCAGTACTGCATATTCCCCCCCGCCCTCTGTGATTTAAAGGGCCCAGGGCTCCAGCCAGGAGTCTTCAGCCATTTTGAATCACTGGGCCCCAAGACAGTTGCCCACTTTGGCCGGCCTGTCTAAAGGCTACATAGAAGTAGGAGTCATTTGCATTTCCCTCCACCTCCAAATATTTCCTGGGAAATGCACTTCCCATGTATTGTCCCAAAACATCCTTTGAAATTTCTAATACCTTCCAGATATTGGCTTGGTCAGGACCCTCCTTCCAGAGCTGTGGCTGCCTTCCGCTCTACTCTGCGCTGGTTAGGCCTCAGTTGGAGTATTGTGTCCAGTTCTGGGCACCGCATTTCAAGAGAGATGTGGAGAAATTGGAGAGGGTCCAGAGAAGAGCAACAAGAATGATGAAAGGTCTAGAGAACATGAGCTATGAAGGAAGGCTGAAAGAATTGGGTTTGTTTAGTTTAGAAAAGAGAAGATTGAGGGGGGACATGATAGCCGTTTTCAGGTATCTAAAAAGGTGTCATAAGGAGGAGGGAGAAAACTTGTTCTCCTTGGCCTCTGAGGATAGAACAAGAAGCAATGGGCTTAAGTTGCAGCAAGGGAAGTTTAGGTTGGACGTTAGGAAAAAGTTCCTAACTGTCAGGGTGGTCAAACACTGGAATAAATTGCCCAGGGAGGTTGTGGAATCCCCATCTCTGGAGATATTTAAGAGTAGGTTAGATAAATGTCTATCAGGGATGGTCTTTCTAGACAGTATTTGGTCCTGCCATGAGGGCAGAGGACTGGACTCGATGACCTCTCGAGATCCCTTCCAGTGCTAGTATTCTATGATTCTATCCCACAAGAGTGCATAAACATTTGCATACCCGGGGCTCCCCAGAATACTTGAATGTCCATCGGTCGGGTGTAACGTAATTCCAGGTTTGCTTAGGAGACTGTCACTATTTCTGATTTACACAAAGGCCCTTTGATGCAGCGGTGGCCTTGGCCATGCAAAGCGACACAAAGGGCATGTGTGTGTGAAGTGCAGTTTCTCCCTGAGAATAGCAGCAAGGTCCGTTAATGTAGCGGGGAATCCTCTGACATGGGGCAGATCCGCGTCAGCCTGTGGATGATCCCTTTATTCTCCAACGGTGGCTCCATCCCTGTGAGGGGCGAGCCATATGCCCCTACTTGTGGAGGAGGAGCTTTGTAAAGGGGGGGTGGAAAATGACTGCTGGTGTCTGCTTTTTCCTAAGCACACGTCATTTCCTACAAGGACTTGAAGGCGCTGATCGCCAGCGGGAAGGCTCACATTGTAGACGTGCGGTCGCCAGAGGAGGTGGCAAATGGCCGTATCGACGACTCGGTCAATATTCCAGGTGAGAGGCTCCTGTGGGTGCTAGCAACCACCGTTTTGATTAGGGATGTTAAAATGTGTGTAATTAAGTAACCGTGTGACGGATGAAAATTTCAGCAGTTGCATGGTTACACATGGGGCGGCAGCCAGCTCTCTGGGAGCCGGTGCACACAGGGAGCCAGCTTTTAAGCCAGCTCCCCGCACATACCTGGAACCTGCATGTAACTATGAACGTTAACCATTGAGCCTGGGCTTAGGTTAACCATTTACACGGTTACACTTTCACATCCCTAGTTTTGATTGAACTTGAAGGGGCGTCCCCCACTACAGAGCAACACAGAGTGTCTCAGACTTGGGTGAGAGCAGTTAAGCCCAATGGTCAGAGCCAGAATCAGGAACCAGGAGTTGGAGCCAAGGATCGGAGCTGGAGTCAGGACCTGAGCAGGATTGAAACACGGCTGGGCACCAGTGTTGCCAGTAAGCAGAGCACTTGGTGGCCGCCCAAGGGGAGGTTCAGGTGCCACCCAGGTGATTAGCACACAGCCAACGGCAGGTGTTTCTCTTGGGGGTGCAGATGTGCACATACATCAATGCACAGAACAACATTTATTCTGCACATGGATGGAAAAAAATTGAGAGAACATTGGTGGGCACAGGAGAAATCACAGCTGCCATAGAAGCATGGAGCAGCTGGTGAGTCAGCCCCCTGAGGCTGAGTTTCAATGCCAACTCTAGTCTCCATGCAGCCAGTGAGTGGTCCAACTAATCAGGCAGTTCAGCTCATTAGCCTGCATGAGGGCTGAGCCAGGCAGCCTCAGGTCAGCTACAAGGACTCCATGGTCTTGTCAGTCAGCAAGGGGCGCTTTTCCCTCCCACTCTCCAGTGCGCCAAGGCTGCTGTGCTGGGGAAGTGGCATGGAACCAAAGCTGGATCATTGAACACTCGAATGGGCACAGGTTACTGCCCCCAGCCCTCTTAATGCCACAAGCTGTTGGGGGACCTGGGCAGCCAGCAGACAGTGTAAGCAGTTTTGGAAAGGCAATGCCTTCCCTTGTCTGTATTACCCACCACCCATTGACTTATATCCCTTTACAAGGCACGTGGGACTTGTGGCTGTCATGCTTAAACTAGGGATGTCAATGTGTAGTCGTCAACACGATTAACTGAAATCTGGGTTAATCGGTTAATCCTGTTGACTGCACACATTCCCCCCCCCCTTGTATCAGAAGCAGCAGTGGGGGGAGCTGGTGCATGGGGGAGTCAGCTTTAAGCCCCCCACGAACACCGGATCCACCTGCCCTCACCCCGTTCCATGCTGCTGCCTCTGATATAGAGGCAGCAGCATGGAAGAGAAAGGGGCAGGCAGGGGTCTGGGTTAATCGGTTAATCCTGTTGACTGCACACATTCCCCCCCCCCTTGTATCAGAAGCAGCAGTGGGGGGAGCTGGTGCATGGGGGAGTCAGCTTTAAGCCCCCCACGAACACCGGATCCACCTGCCCTCACCCCGTTCCATGCTGCTGCCTCTGATATAGAGGCAGCAGCATGGAAGAGAAAGGGGCAGGCAGGGGCCGGGAA